AGCCTCGTCTTCATGTTAAACGAGAGAGAATGCTGCACAAGATGGCAATTTTGAAGGTGTTGCACCACTCGGATTAAATATGATTTTTGATATGTTGTTTCTGATGACATCTACTAATAAAGATTCGTGATGAAAGAGTTTCTGTTGCAATTTGTTCTAGGTCAAACCGCAGTTTGACTGGACTAAAAATGTATCGACATTGAGATATTGATTAAAGTTCTTACCTTGAAAGATTGAAGGAAAGTCCATAGCAATATTCTTATAGTGTAACCTTGACGAAGAAGCTTGACTAAACGAGCCGCACGGAAAAGCCTAAAAAGACTGGGATCGAACGGAAGCTTTTGTCCRTCTCCCTCACCCTCCTGAAAATGCATTTCACGTATAAGTATACGTTAAGTTTACGTAMGTGTATGGTTTTGAACGCTACGCTGTTCATACATATATCAGTGTGCTACTTTCACGCATGTAGATATCAACATCGTTCCCAGGCCCTTTTCCCTTCGTCTGACGTTAAGGGACTGGGAACGAAGTTGTTAAGATATCATTAGTGAAAACCAGACGAAGCAAAACGGATCAAGGTTCATTCATTAGACTTTCATCTCGTCTTCCACGCTTCCTTCGCCGTTTAGACTAGTGATAATCGACCTATAGGCCACTTTACATGAAGCACCCCTTTCCTTATGACGTCACATACGTACCATYACTTTATCCAAGATAAAGTCCAGAAGACTTCCCAATACAACAACGAAGTCAAACACGTTCCAACTGTCTCGAAAGTAGTTCTWGAACGCCAACAAAATACATTTTGAACAATAAGCTTGCAGTATAACATGAATATTGAACTACGTTCAGAGAATAAGASGGGATGCTTTTGGCGTGAAATCGTTAATAATATCAAATAAATTTTTGGAAATTCTACAGAAGACTTAGTAAGTAGCTGTCAGGGCTCAATCCAATTTCATGGGATTACAAAGTGAACGTTATTCTCCTAGAAATCAAATCTAAACTTGTAGTCATTACAATAACACCACCAGTTRCGTTATCAACTGATTTTTTAGCCGAGGAACAGGCCCAAAGCTTCAGGCCGTAAGCTGAAGAGATAAGAGTTTTATTTACCTGTCTGAATGCAATAAGCTTTAGAATGGCCTCTGTCGTGAACATGAACGTGAATATCGTATTAAAGAGATTGAGCCAGTAACGGTATTCCTTCGGTTCGTTATCAAACTAGAAACAACAACAAAAAATGGTATCTTTAATCCGAGGTATTAAGYATTGAYTGCTTTTTTACAGTTAATTCAGAAAACGTTGACACTTAAGATAGCGTATACCAAGACCGAAATGCATTATTGTTCGTCCTATGATCGTTGAAAAGGAGTTTTCATGGTGTGARAGAGTAACTTTAACATCTCCATTCAGTCAAGAACTTTCAGTGCAAAGCAATTGAGTTTAGAATAAACTTCTTCACGGTTCCCTGCGCCATCTTGAAAGGTAGCCGTGCCTTAACATCGAAGCGAGACAACCTTTGAGCGTGCAATGATAGATACCTGTGAATAATTGTCTGTAAAATAAGGTTTCTATCATTGCACGCTCAACGGTCATCTCGCTTCGATACAAAGGCATGGTTACATTTCAAAATGGCGCAGGGAACCGTGAAGACGACTATTGTCTATAKTACAYAGCTAACGCGGTGTTTAATTGATTAATTCCTTGTGGTCTTGGAAAGTACTGCGCAGTATTCAGTATTCAACATTTTCTGAAATAGCTGAATTCAAAACCTTACCTTCATCATTAGAATCAACGTGTTTAGTGCAATCAAAGTCATGATCGTGAATTCAAAAGGTCTACAATCCACGAGTTTCCATACACGATATTGGATGGTGTTTGGATCTTCGGGCATGAATCGTTCACTCGGCTTGGCCACTATCGCAAAGTGCAGACAATCGCGCTAAAGAGAGGTGAAGGACACATCAACAAAAAGCTAAACATCCAGCTATAATTGCGGCAATTGTTCTGCGATACTAGTGTCRAACATGTTCGAATTTTTAAGGCAACTTACAATTTGCACGGTGAATTTTGACATAGTAAATTTAAACAGAKCTTTAGACGGAAAAATCATCAAGTACGAGAACTTTACGATTATATTTTGAAGTTTTTTTTTCAAACGGAAGTAGTGCAAGATGACAGATATCCAAATTTGCGAAACCGCGACGTATTCGGGCCCAGCAGTATTCGACTCACCTGGTTTCTATCTAATTCACAGTCCCCTTGCTCTTTTTCTCCTTGCTCTTGGAAGGTCAAGATAATCAAAGCGACGAAGATGTTCAAGAAGAAGAACGAGAAAACAATCACGAAGAAAATATAGAACAAGAAGATTTCCACCTTGTTGTCGACAATTGGGCCGCGATCGATACCTGTAGTGTCGATAGACGCTTGCATAAGACTGAAATCAATACAAAAAAAGAATTATATATCATATTATCCGTGGCCTGTTTGGATATGGTAGATGTGATAGTAGTTGTAAAGGATGGGGTCATTATTGCGCAAATTGTTCTCATAAAAGTTCACCATCAAGGTTCTCCACCATCAAGGTTCTCCACCATCAAAGGATCTCCACCATAAAGATGTAAGTTCGAATAGGCTCAAACGAATTGTGGACTGGTATAACACGAATCACTATTTTCTCTAGATATTCTACTTACGCTGGCCAACCTTCACCAGTCGAYGATGCAAACAACGCTAACATTGCTTTGAATACATTATCGAAGTTGTACTCTTGGTTCGCCCACTCTCTGTCTTTAACCTTTGGAAATTGAACGGAATGTCAATGCATATGATAACGCTAGTTCTGCACATTGYAACGCTTGTTTTGTATATTGCAATTGCTTATTTTGTACAATGTATCCTTAGCATCGAGCATTGTAACAACAGCATTTGGCACAGTCACTAAAATACTCACTTCGAGTTTACTGAGATCCCTGTAGTCACTATATTCAAAATACTGGCCCCTGAAATCAGAAGATATACATGGCGTTATCAAAGTACGTGCCAACAACCCACCGTCACGGCTGGTAACAGTCAGCTCTCGTTATAGAGTCTGCTTTCAAGAGAGTTATTTTCAATAATTTCACTAAAATGGGGATTCTCTAGCTGTTTATAATATCGGGGTGCCCGTACGGCTGTATTAATGGGGGTGAACATGACTGAGTTTCCGTCATACACTATTGATACATGTACTGTTAGTTAGCGAGAAACTGTTTACAAAAACATGTTCACGTAATAACAATGATATAAGATCATTGCCAACTTAGCTCCCAGGTCCTTTTCCCTCAGTTTAAAACGACCGAAAAAGGAACTGGATTTGTGGCGTGAAAATGTTATCATCTTACCGGCATTCCTGCTCTGTCATCTTRGATTTATCTGAGCACGTAAAAAATTTGCCCTAGAATTGAAAACAGAGAGTTGCTATAAGTTKGAAATCATTTTTTCAGAAATAAATCAGCGCATATCACATGAGTAGACTCATTCGCAGGCGTTTCTTTCCTTTCTTTTCTTGTGTTAGATCAGTAAGAGAGCTAGCGGGACTAGTAACGAGTTCTTTTCACTCCCCCAGTTCCTTCTCTTTCCCATTTTTCCACAGGGAACTCAAAGAATATATAATATTATAATCTGAATAAGCATACCTGGAAGAGCTGGACCCCAATAACAGAAAATATGAATAAGAATAGAACTGTGATGATTAAGATGTTTAAGACATTCCTGAGCGAGAACACCATGCACTGAAATACTGCCTAAAGATAGAGAAAAGACAACGCATTGTTTAGTGTTGTGATGATGACTATGATTGTGATGGTTGATAATGAAGGTAACGATACTGTTGATATTACGAATGATAATGATGATGTTGATGATGATAATGATGATGATGATGATGATGATAATGATGATGATGATAATGATGATGATGATGATGATGATGATGATAATGATGATGATGATGGTGATAATGATGATGATGATGGTGATGATGACGATGATGATATAGTATAGCAATAAAACATCGCAAACATACTTTTAGCTTTTTGGCTTTGTTGATGGCTTTCAGAGGACGGAGTACACGAAGAACACGGAGAACTTTTACGGTTTTCTTCGATCCGGCAGACGAATCCTCGTTGGTACTATTGATATATACATTGATCATTATATTAAGAGAAAGTTACAAAATAACGAAAACACCAAAGAAACTTGGAAAGGAAAGAATAATTAGATAGCTCACTGGAGCTATCGCGCGTTTTAAAGGTTGCAAATTTGGTGCAAACATGATGTAAGTGTCCAAAATTCTGTAAATTTGATGTAAATGATTCCCATTGAATTTACAGAATTTTGGACACTTACATCATATTTACATCAAATTTACAACCTTAAAAGCGCGCAATTTTTTCCAGTGATAGGCGATGAAAAAAGAGGAAAAAGGAACTCTGCGAACAAAGTTGAATGTTAAGAATTTGAGTCGAGTAAGGCCAAGCGAAGAAAAGAGAGTTAGATCCGCGTTTATACGGCGAACGCCAAACCTCAAAACTGATCACATGWTCACTGTTTTTCTGTATTAACGCTCCGTTCTTTCACGATTGTGTATAAAATAGATCCCTTTTTCGTGCATAAACSYATCACTATTCCTTTCGAAGCGTTTTCAGGTTTGTTTGAAATTTTGAGACAAAGCATAAAAACCAATTTGACGTTTTGCGTTTGAAGTAAACGTGAATCTAAAACTCTCTAAAGTGTGAAATACAACATGGTTTTACCTTAAAACAAGAGATGCAATGGCACAAGACACGACAAGTGCATCGATACAATTCCACGCGTCTCTGAAGTATGACCCGGGATGAAGAATAGCGCCGTAGTCAATTAGCTGCACAAAAATGGTACATCATTAGCTAATTAGTATTTGGGTAGCCTAGTAGACGATCGTAGTCCAGCGCGCGTGTAAYACATACCTTGACAACAACTTCCATCGCAAAAATCGTCGTGAATACATAATCAAAATAGGTAAGAATCTAATGAAGAAAATACATCAAATCAAAACGTGTTATTTATGTGCTTTTAATCCCCTTTTTCGTTCTCAGAATGTTTTTTTTTTTTCCAGTTCTCAGAATGTTTATTTTCCGTTGTGGGAAAATGACACAACAGAATATGAATACACTCGGCCTACCAAGATCCTTTGCGATAGTAAGAAGCACAGGTAACCCACCTTGTTACGCTCGGAGTTTTCGACAACTGGATCTTCGGCGGCCAGCAGTCCACTACTAATCAATATGATGACGAGGATGACATTATCAAAATGACGTAGATTGACCAGCCAGTGACAGAATTTACGAACTCTATAAAGATAAGAAGATTACACTGACTTCAATAAATTGTATACCTGTGCACAACGAAAGAACACGACAGGATTAGATCTACGACCATCTCGTAACACCGACCACCTCCTGAGAGCGACCACTATGCACAATATAGAGTGACGACATGGTATGGTAACAGGAATGAAAAACGACCAATGACTTTATACAACGACCGCCCGTTTTTCAGGGTCCTACTTACGGATTTCCGGGTGGGAATAGAAAGAGTGACCAAGTGTTGATGATGGGTACTGGTTCGCCTGGTTTACGCTGCTCGATAATTTTGTCTGGATTCTTTAAGCTCTTTAGGAAGTTTTTCGCACTTAATTTTTTCCCGCCTTAAAAGATTTTAAAAAAATGTTAATTGTAAGAGATGACTTTTGAAAAAGACATTTTACGTCTTTGATGAATTGAGGAATTAAACCCGCTGTATCATGATTTAGGGAAATGGCTTATTTTCCTTTATTTTCGTCGGTGCAACTTTTTCTTGCAACCGCTGTGAAAAATTTCTTGGCAATCCTAAACAGGTGTTGCAGAAAAAACTTTAAGTATTCATTTTTTTGCGAAGTTTTGGGGCTTTCTAAGTAAACATTGCGACTAAAATTGCGTTGTCTCGAGTCGGAAACGCAGCAGGWACTGCTATGCGAGCGTTTGCATGATATAGGYCTTACTTTCTTCCACTTCTTCAAATTCGTCTTCGTTAGGTCCCATATCATCATCATCCTAGAATGCAAATATAAGCATTTATCGCTCGAGATTGAGTATGATATCATATGACAGGATATACAGAATTATGCAAATCGAGGCGTAACCCTCCCTGTTTACATTATGTTGGTGATTCAGTGAAAAATCCAGAATGTTATAGAGGAGGWGGGAGGGAGGGGGGACTCAAGAAAAAAWTAAATGGATATATTTAGGTCTGCGGAAAATGATACTTTTTTAAGCTGAACGTTTCTTAAGTTGTTTTTCAAAATGATCTCCGTTTATTTCTTCTTTTAATACATGTATTTACTTCATAATTTCTATATCTATATTTTGGAATAAAAAAGGTGGTGAGCCACCTTAATAAACCCCCTGGTTCATACTTACTCTGCGTGCGTTTCCATTCCTCCTGCGAAGAAAACAAATGTCGCTTGTTATAAAAAAAGTTCAAAAAAAAAAAAACAACAACAACAACAAAACCAAAGCATCACGACTATAACTGCACTTATAGTACATTCAACAAAATAATACATTCTGATTGGTCGAGAGGAGTACAATTACAGCGTTAATTACTCGTGACTATTAATTCCAAATTGTACTCAAGGTCGTGCGATTTCCTATACATAAACTCACCCGCCATCTTTAGGAGAATATTTAGAATCTTGAAACTGTTCCATGATTTCACGTTTCCGTTCTTCTCTAGCTTCTTCTTCTTCAGCCTCATCAGCACTCAATTGCTGGGCGTTGGCCAAGTTATCGACGGCGATAGCCAAGAATACATTCAGAAGAACGTCTACAAAGTGTTAAGGACGTGCAATAATGACTGATCAATAGAAACTACAGACAACTGTCGCTGTAACGGGCAGTCCGCAATAGCGAGTGTCAGCGGCAAGAGAAATTATTTGCTACTTTTGGGGTTTATTTGAGTAATAACGAGCTCTAACCAGGTAAAAAAATTTTGAGGGTTTAAATCTGGCCGTAATATTATGGGGGTGGTCGTAATACGGGGTTGCACAGTATCAATGATTTCATCTAGTATTTAACATTGTACTCGGCGCTGTACAATATGCTTCAGTAAGATTCACTGACTGGTGCGAGAGCGCAAACACACGTTACAATTCACAATATATTCAAAAGATACAGTTTCCAAGGACCACGAGAGCTACGAAGTATAACGAGTACCCAAGCGCACCSGCCCTGTTTCCACCAGGCGTAAGCCAACCCGCTGAAAGCACGCCGTCGTACATTACTGCGTTCCAGTCCTCCCCAGTCAGAATCTGTCAATCAAAACATTGAAACTCAGTATAATAATAGGCGATATGCATTATGGCGTCATTTACTACAACTACCAGAATGCTTTGCCAACTTTCTTTTRTAATGCAATTAGTGCCAATTGTTTTATTAATCTRCAAGGGGATTRAAAATCTGAATAACAATGAAAATACGCAAGGCTCTCTGGTAGTTGTAGTAAAGTTACGTCATAATGCAAACGGCCTATTATTGGTGGATTCAAGCACATAAAATATGGTCTAAAAACAGCCGTCGAGAGGACAAAGGTTTACCTGAAATACTGCAAGGAACGCATTCCAGAAGTCGTCAAAGTTTGTTCTTGGGTTTTCRTCTCTGCCTGGGAGGTTTCGGAATCTGAGGAAATACAATTAATCGGGTATTAAGCGGCTGACCGGAAGGCGTGGTTACACTGTCAGTACGAGGATTTCATTCATGAAATCAGACTTACTGAGATCCAAAAATCTGCATTCCCAATAACGCGAAAATGACAATAAAGAGGAAGAGAAGGAACAATAGACTGAGTATAGACCGCACTGAGCTAAGCARYGACGTGACGAGATTTCTAAGCGATGACCAATATCTTGTGTATTTAAACAATCGTAGCAGCCTGAGAGCTCGAAGAACAGATATACCAAGCTCAATACCCTCAATATGACTGATAATAAGTTCTAATATACCACACCACACGACCTGCAAAGCATGAATAGCATTAGTTGAACAGCAGTGGTCATCAAAATAGGAACAAAATACAAGGAATGTTTTGATTGGTACAGGATGTCACGTGATTTGTTGGTACATATTGTCATACATACCACACAGTCAAATGTGTTAAATTGAGACTTGAAATATAACTGGGGTCCAAGGCCGTACAGCTTCAAACACATCTCCAGGAAGAAGAACGATATGAAGATCAGCTCTGCTTTTTCTGTAAAAGAAAGAATTTTGAATTTTATTCGCAYGCTCTGCCGGATTGATTGGATTAAACAATGTGAATACGATTCTCTCAGATGGGATGAACAAAGTATGTTTAACGAGCACTTTGATTGGTCAAAACAATGTTAATGCGATGCTCTCTGATTGAAGAACAAACCATGATGTAACAACCACTCTAATTATGGTTAAAACAATATGAATGCAACTCGCTACAATTGGACTCTGATTGGTCAGTGCAATAGGATAAATCAGTTTACCTTGAAATTGCGTCAGCCAAGTTGGTTGTTGATAATGCTGACAAGCAGTGATAACCGTGTTTAGGAACACGCAGATAATAACAGACCAATAAAACGCTTGATGCTTTACAACCTGTCTTACACGAATTCGCCATCGCTTGTTTTTACGTACAAAACGTTGCCAACATGTTCTCCTTAAAAAAAAGGAAAACAAGTAATTACATTAAGTGGTTTTATTACTAGTGGAAAACACAAGATAACAGTTCTGTCCAAGGGTGGTGGAGACCAAGGGTGGTGGAGATCCAAGGGTGGTGGAGAACCACCGTTAGGTGGTGGAGAACCACCCTTCCAATAGGAAGCGAGAGGGTGAATCTTACTAGATAGATACCAATAATAACAATAGATAAAACTACGTACTTTTGTCCTGTATTTAGTCGATGTCTTCTCCCGCCGGCCCCCGTTAGGACCTGTGACGTCATAGCTACGTCACCATCCTCAACTCGATCGAGGTTCCGCTTCCGAAGAATGTCTACGTTTCTTTCWCCTTCGTCTTCGTCTTCTTCTAACATTAAATCCTCTGTACGAATAAAAATCAAACATTGGTATTCCGACGTACTCCTATGTTTTTGTTTTTAGTCCTCATATTTTGAATGGTCTTTTGAAGTGCGAGATCCTTAGCAACCAGGACCCTTTTTCCGAGTAAAAAAAAAAGCGAGCAGAGAAGCTATGGGAACGAGGTTGAAAAGCTTGATGAATTAAAGATGGTGAATCTTACCAGCTTTACTTATCCAATCGAGGTAGCCATGCAGCATTCTTTCCATCTGTTTTGTTCTTCGCACTTTTAGAAATTCTCTTCTATTTTCTACTCGTTCTCTTTCTTTAGCAAATTCTCTGAAACATAAAACATTGAATTGATAAAAAAGAACAAGAAACTTCGTCTGCAATAATGACCTGTTGCCCAGTACTACAGAATGCGTTTACACGCGAATGCGGATAAGGTCGCAGCGCCAAAGAACAAAAGGCTTAAAGAATCCCAACCAACCACAATACACCGCGCGCTCGTGTTAAATGTTTATATAASTTTAAATGCTTCAAGTRTACAATAGATTATAGATTGATAGTACCTGTAGGTACTTAATTAAAGATATTTATGYCCAAAMTGAAAGGATAGAAGACGATTCTCGCTCATTTTAAAAAATCCTAGGCGTTGGTTTTACATCACTTACACGAATTGTGAGACCTGACACAATGTTTAGCGAAAATTCCKCATCTCTACTGAAGTTCACTGAAATAMCTGACGTTAAACTACGTTTTATTTCGTGGAACTRCTTTAGTCATCTCAACTTACCCGCTAAGGACACCGAGAACCAGGTTAAGCATGAAGAACGATCCTATAATGACGAGTGAGTAATAATACAACCAGAAGGCCAAGCCATCTTTATCGTACACGCGAAACGTCTGATAACAATGAAAAAGGCTGGGTTAGTTTTCGAAGAGTCACAATAGTCACAGCAGTCGCACCAAAGGCGGTTCTACGCGCACAATAGTTACATTTGACACATATTCCAATTTTTATTTTCCATTGACCTGGTCTAATTAGCCTGATTTCACCTACTCTAGGGGCCGACCAAAGATGAGCCAGCGGGGGGAGGGGTGAGGGCATATAAAACGAGTTAAAAATTCTATTAAGAGAGAAAACGAAAAAAAACCTCTTTCACACATAAATTTTATTTCATTACATACCCAGTACATGATGTCTGTCCATCCTTCATTGGTTATTACTTGAAAAACAGTCAAACAACCAGCGAAAATGTTGTCAAAGCTGGTAATACCATCGTTAGGTCCATCCCAATATCTTTGACATAYCAGAGAGCCTTCACATCCTTTACCTTTACCATCTGGATCACAAAGCTCTGGGTCATCACCTGCTATAGTAGGTGCTGTCAAAGGAAGACAAAAAAGTTTTCAACAACTATGTGAAGCAAGATCCCCATCCCTCTACTAGAGAGGATTTATTTTCACTCCTATTTGCCTGCAGTATAGATAATATACTCAAATTGGAGAAAGCAAGCAGAGACACGATTAAATATAATTTATAATGAAAAGTTAAATCTAATTTTTTCTTACCTGAACCATTTACTCCAGGGTTAAAACAGGCATAATGAAATTTGCCGCAAAGAAATTCTAATCCTATGATTGCATAAATTACGATAACAAATCCTACAAGCAAGCATATCTGCAGCAGTGGCAACATTGCACACATAATTGACTTCATTACAACTTGAAGACCTAAAAGAGAAAAATATTTTACAATTAACATAACATAATAGCTAAGTTGACGTATATAATTGAATTACGATTAACTAATCAACCCCTAACACTCACTTT